TGCCACGCTTAGCCAGTGCAGATAGATGATTCGAAACTTTAAAACTGCTTCCCATAGCCGGTCTAGTTGATTATAACTATTATATATGGTACACGGTCTTCTACTTTTGGTTAACGGGTGTTTCTTTACCAATAGTCGCCTCTTACGACATCATGTCACGAATCAAGCTGATGAATATGTCGCCACCACAGGGCAAGCTTGTGTTATTGAATATAATATATACCTAGCTGAGCGCGCGAAGCCACTAATTTATATTTCGTGTAATATAGTGACGACGTAGTATTAATTACCCCATTAAATCGCGTGGGTGTTAAAAGGGTTGACGAAAAGCTATATCAAGATCTTGTGACCTTTGACAAAAGGCAAAATAATCATTTCGAATATAACAAATCAAAAATACCCAGAACGGGCGGCGGCGTCTATTCGTTACAGGCCTAATTCTAGCTGTGAACTCCACCCGCATACTAATCTCGCAGTCAACATAACGCATTGTTGAAAATATCCGTTGAATAAAACGAAGTGTAGTGCTGTTCGTACGTTTCTTACAGTGTGTATAAGAACCATTAGCCATTTACCATTACTCTAATGGATCGGGAATTACAGTCTGTTAAAGTCGGCTTAATATAAGCCTCTGCATGCACTAATCGTACGGTAAATTTCGCCATATTTGCTACGCTTAGCAGACGCGTTGGCAACCGCAGCTTTTTTATTTTCTAGTAGTTATTAAGAAGACGCTGCCAATCTCCCGGTTCAGTTCCCTCGGGCGCCTCTTATAGCACCCACTTTGTCACAGACGTACGCTCTTGTTTCGACTATACTTATATATTAAACTAAAATTTTATGCTTATTTAACGCTGTAGAGCTATGCTGCAGCTATATTAGTAGTATAGGTGTTCACGAATGGGTCGACTTGAACGGGCAAGGACCACGCTCTCACAGAATACCAGCGTAAAATAGCAGCGTAATGATGCTTTGTTTCGTATGGTGAGGGTAGAGAGCCGAACACCCATTTTATTGAAAACGAGGCATTTCATCGTAATCCTCACGGGTGGCAGCGTATCTGCGTTTTGATTTGTAATTGAGGAGGAATGTAGATGTCTATGGGCCACGGCAACCACTTACAATCAGGTGGACTGTGTGCTCGTTTGGTACCCTTATCGGCCGATCATATTCAGCTGACGTTGGCGTGACGGTGATGATAAAGAAGCTAGTTATTTAACAGATTTAGAGCTAAAAATAAACACAACCTGGCACTCATTACATTGTAGAGGATCGGATTGACAGTAGCGGACACGTAGTAGAGGGCTCCAGCGACGTTGAACAAATGTTCATTGATGACGTGGAATTTTGGCAAATCATACCCATAGATATAGAAAAGCCTCTGAACGTGGAAAGGTGCCCAACACACGAAAAATGCAACCACCACGGCAACTGCGTAAAAAATTAAATTCATCAATGCAATTTAAACACTGCTTTAAAACAAAATATAGTTATTTGCAAAACTATACAAAGCAAATTTAGAAGTGTGAACACTTCTTTACAATTGTCATAATTTGAAACTCTATCACAGAATATGTAATGAAATGAAAAATACTACTCGATGAAACGAAAAAGATTTTATGTATTTTTATTTTTCATATATTTCGTATTGTCTAATTGTTTTTGTTTGTTTTATATTAGTATTTTACTCGTACTTGTAACAATTATTAAGTTATCGTACAGTTATCGTCTTTTTTAAACATGCTGTAACTACCTTTAAATGGAAACATGTAAATCTTAGTTCCTAAGCCTATTGTCACATTTTTTTAAAACAACATGTTATTCCGTTGGTTTTTCTATCAATAAAATAAAATAAAAAAAGAGACAAGTATACATCTATAGGATTTAGCCTGCGAGCAATTTTACTGGAAAGAAAATACTTTTTTGGTTTATTACACAAACATTTAGGCTCTACATGTCAAAAATAAAAATTGTATCATTTATATAAAATCAAACTTTAACCTTATATTTTATGCCGCGTCAAATTAAATAAATAATTTGCCATGAAATTTTTTTATTTTATATTTCATTTCTTTTCAAAGTTTCACTTCTACCGCGTGTGAACTGTGCACATTTTTTCTTTTGTTCTTTTCTTTCTTTCTTGCCTAAAAATATTTCTGCCAAAATTACGCCAAATATTAGTTCCTACCGCTGTTTTCCGTCTTGAAGGGTATAGACAGGTAGTATAAGTATAATGTACAAGCTGTAAGGCATTCCATCTTATTACTCAGAGTTGACGACGCATCTCTAACCTTCATTACATTTTTTAGGTTTCAGCACTGCAGAAGCCAATTACCAACAGGTGTAACATTTGTCACTTCAGTTTTATAAAAAAAGAGGCAGATTATAAAATACATTCTTAAAAAATATTAAAATAAATGAATTCTATTTTATTCTTGTTGTTTTATTATTGCTTCATTGAATGTACTCGTATTTGTATAATTATAAACAAACAATATCAGCCGTTTGCCGTACGGCAGCGTAAAAGGATCTACTGTTGGATGTGGTTAGAGTCTCGAGAGGGAAATGAAGCAGGAGATGGAAGGAAGTATGAATAAGCAACATAATACTGCCATGCTGCCATATATCTTTTGAGTATGGTCAGTGAGGAGGCACGAAGAACCTTTTGCCTTTTTTTAATTATTTTTTTTTCTCCTTTGAGCGATCTAAAGAATATCATAAGTTCAAGGTGTTAACTAGAATGTTTTCTTAATAGTTACATTAAAATCTTCATCGCCTACTTTTTTCACCCTTGGGCATGGAATATTTTCCTCAAATTTATATAGGGCCTACCCTGAACCTATTTAATAAAAAAAATGAATCATTAAAATTGGTTCACAAACAATGAAGTTATGCCCGAACATACATACATAAAATATTGAGAACCTCTTCCTACATTTTTGAAGTTCGTTGAAACTCGCAATGAAATACATATAAATTTCTGATAAATAATTTCTGCTATTAAATGTAAATTGATCGAGGATTTGACGTCAAAATATTTTTTACTTCCTCAAAATTACTTAACAAAACACAGGCGACGAGTTTGTGCCACGAATTGTAATAAGGGTGCGAAATCTTCATTGAAATTCGCAAATGCTCTGTATGCTCTTTGATTAAAGGCATTATGAGTGATGTAAAGCCATTGCGTGTCTGTAGAAATATGAATTTTTAAATTTTAATTTCAGTGGTCATGCTGGTGTTACACATAGTTTAACTAACCTTTTATACCTTCATCATACGTAACATTAAAGCGTTTAGTTTTACAATAAAATAATACTAAACGTTTATGTTAAAAATTAAAAGAAAATTATGATAATAATTTTATATTTATTTTTGAAATAAACATAAAGTTATTTAAATTTACTTCCTTTCTTGCAACGGAAGATTTCAAATTTACCAAGCATCCTAATTATTGCCTTTCTGGATTTTGCTTGTTTTGTTTCACCATGCACGTGACCGTTCAGCAAACCCAATCTCGTCCTTTTTGTAACCTTTGTTGACCTGCATATGTAAAATGAATTAGTAGAGTTCATCGTTAAAATATATATATATACCTGGAAATTGCAGTAGGTAGGTACAGCGTTCTTAGCCTTATCTGCTGCCTAGCAGTATGTGCACCGCTGTGTTCAGGTCTGAAGAATAATGAAACTCAGTAAAATTGCAGGCTGTGTGACATTCCATCATAGTTCTCAAAGAAACGTAACTATATCCTCCTTTGTTTGAAGTTGGCTGCGAGTTGGACACCACTACTGAATTGCAATACCAATCCCATCAGGTGAACTAAGTAATGGTATTATAATAGTTTGAGAAAATATTATATTTCAAAATAGTTTCTAGAATAAACATGTTGTATATGCATGCTCTGAAATGTTTATTTAGACTTTTTATCATACCGTTTACATCATAAAAAATCTTAAACAACTTTAGCTTGACAGAGCAAATGATTTAAGTATTAAATAGTTTTGATATCAAAAGTTTTATTACCTTATATGAAGGCCAATTGTCACATACAAACATAAGATAAGAAGAGCGGGCACGAAGAAAAAGAATACGCTGCTTAACTCCAGCAGAGGTGACGGGACCATCAGAGCACAGAACGCAGAGTCTAAGGACCTGTTACCAGAATCTGGAAACATATCAATATTTTGTATATTATATAAGCAAGATTTTAGAGTAAAAGTACTTAAGTGCTAATAGAATATTTAAATACACCTGGTGACACCGTAAGAAACTCTCCCCATTTAAATCCTGGTTGACTTATGAGGCGGCTATACAGGGTTATTTTACAATCACCGAACAAATTTGCATAGAAGGTTCAGAATAAGTAATATCATATGGTGAAGAAAAATTAATTACAAAATATCTCAAACATTCTGTCCTTTTTATCTTTTAAATTCAAAATGCGTGGTAATGCATTATTTTAACTGATTTTACTGCGCATGCAAACATTCGTAAAACCTCGGTCACAGGCAGCGAATATTCGCCGCGAGTATTCACTCCTGCCTGTCACACGTAGTGACTTTTACAGGAGAATGTCGACAGTCTGTTGAGACTGGTGCATACATACATGTTGTCTGTAACATCTGTTAGTCACAGGATTAAATACTGTATTCGGTTGGACTGTACAGAGTTGGCAAACCAAATGCATGAAATGAAATGAAATTACTGTTGTTTGTGTCCCACAGCTCTTCATATTGTCTATAGACATCCAAGAAACGAACTATGTCATTATTTGCCCACTTCAGTGAATCTTTTTTTGGTTGGCTCATTATAAGTACTCGTATATATGCAGCGACGTAAGTAGCACAGACATGTAATCTACAGCGGTGCGCTGAGCGTCATGGCTATTCGCAGCGAGCGAGTCAGTGACTAACCTGTCACAAACAGCGAATAGTCGCGGCAAGTGTGCATTCGCAGCGAGTAAAATTGAACATTCTCAATTCAATTTGCGGCAAACCAACTTGCGGCAATTAAATCTATTCGAGGCGAATATCCTGTCACACACAGCGAATACTCGCTGCGAATTCCTACTAGCTGCGAGTATTCGCTGCGAATTCCTACTCGCCGCAAGTATTTGCTGCGAATTCCTAATCGCCGCAAGTATTCGCTGCGAATTCCTACTCACCGCATGTATTCGCTGCGAATTCCTACTCACCGCAAGTATTCGCTGCGAATTCCTACTCGCCGCAAGTATTCGCTGCGAATTCCTACTCGCCACGAGTATTCGCTGCGAATTCCTACTCGCCGCAAGTAATCGCTGCGAATTCCTACTCGCCGCAAGTATTCGCTGCGAATTCCTACTCGCCGCAAGTATTCGCTGCGAATTCCTACTCGCCGCGAGTATTCGCTGCGTGTGACCGAAGCTTAAGGGTCGATAGGTAAGCAAAAACGTTGATGCCCATAAATCACATTCAATTTGGGATAATTTGAAATAAAAGTAGAAAATTTATTTGATAAATAGCCCTGCATATTCTGATAGTTGGCGATATTACGAGGGTGGATTGAAAAGTACTCGGCTTAACACAGATCCATTTAATTCTAAAAATCAAATCTACCCACATTATTTAGTTCAGTTCAGACTAGTTCATTGTGTGAAGTTCGAAACGTGTGCGATAATTAGTTGTGATTTTATAAATTTATAAACAAAGTAATCGGACATAATTTCCGCGAATGGAGCAAATCGAGCAGCGTGCCGTCATTAAGTACCTCCATAAGAAGGAGCTATCATCAAAAGCCATCCATGATGACATGGTCACTACATTAGGCGATTGTGCTCTGTCATATTCATCCGTCAAAAAATGGATAGCAAAATTTAAGCGTGGTAGAGAGAGTGTGAAAGATGAACCCCGCTCTGGAAGGCCTTCGACGTCAACTACTGACGAAAATATTAAAAAAGTACTTGATTTAATAATGGGAGACCGCAGATTAAAAATTAGAGAGATAGCCGAGATTATAGGCATCTCTTATGAATGAACTCAAAACATCATTGTCAACGAGTTGGGTTTCCACAAGGTGTCTGCGAGGTGGGTTCCGCGACTGCTTTCAGTTGAACAAAAAAGGACGCGATTGACTATTTCACGCGACTGTTTGGAGTTATTTGAAGCCGATGCAGATGATTTTTTGAATCGTTTTGTTACTATGGACGAAACATGGGTTCATTACTGTACACCGGAAACAAAACAACAATCAAAACAGTGGAAAAGACCTGGTTCACCACCCCCTAAAAAGGCTAAGTCGATTTTGTCGGCAAATAAGGTGATGGCTTCAGTATTCTGGGACTCGAAAGGTGTGATTATGATTGATTATCTTGAAAGGGGTCAGACTATAAACTCTGATTACTACTGCACCTTACTACGTCATTTACGAGAGGAAATAAAAGAAAAACGTCGAGGAATGCTCAGAAGAAAAGTCCTGTTTCATCAAGATAACGCCCGTGTTCACACGTCAGTACAGTCAATGGCTGAAATTCACAACTGTGGCTTTGAACTGTTACCGCATCCGCCGTATTCACCTGATCTGGCACCATCAGACTTCTTTCTGTTCCCTAACCTAAAAAAGCACTTGGAAGGTCAAAGATTTCGACAAACGACGAGGTCAAAGCAGCTGTAGACGCATATTTTGACTCTAAGGAAGAATCATTTTTTTTCAACGGTCTAAATGCTTGGAAGGGGAGGTGGCAAAAGTGTATTGAACTTGATGGTGATTATGTAGAAAAATAAAAATATAACTGATTTAGTATGTGTTTATTTTCTTGGTTAGGCCGAGTACTTTTCAATCCACCCTCGTATCATATCATTTTTGCCAGTCCTATGCGGATCGAAGATAGTGTCAAAAACCATCGTCGGCTATACCAGAGTGCCCGTTCCCAGTCGCCAGATGTATTACTTTTACATTTACTTTATTTTTACTTTATTATAATATTTACCTTTATTAAAAATCGTACTGTTTATGCCCGACTTGTAATATATTAGTTAAAAAGGTGCCAAACCATCTCAAAGATTTGTTGTTCAGCAAAGTTGAAATTCAAAAGCGATGCCAAGTTTAGGAACAGTATTCTGAATAAAATTCAACAACTTTATACTACTAATAAAAACTGAAGAATTAGTACGATATCTACATTTAGCATTAAAGCTTAGATACTGGAAAACTAAAAAACAATCTAGATAGTATGACGCGTAAAAACTCCAGTGACGAGTAAAAGTATCTTTACTTAAAGAAGATACAAGTAGCTATCACGACCGCCTACGTGAAAATGATGGAGATCCATTATAGCGTAGGAGAGTTATGTGTCCTTCACTTTGTATTTTACTATATTTTAAATGTTCTTATTATTACTGTCAGTCATTCTTTCATTTTGACAGAAATTCTTTAGCGTACAAAATTTTTTTTCATAAATATTACAAATAACAGATATATATAATTATCATCTTAGTAAACATTCACAAGTCCACTGCTGAACATAGACATCTCCTAAGGAATACCACAAAGCACGCTTATGAGCCATGTGCATTCATCGACTTCTTTTTTTATTTCCAGGTCGTTACCCCATCTAGTGGGGGACCACCCTACAATTTGTTTACCAGTACGAGACTCCAAATCCTTTCTTCCCCATCAGCTGTCAGCTCTTCGGGATCAACCGCCGGCCGATTATCACTTCAGCTTACTTATCAAATGGGATTTGTCATTTACTGTGGTTCCACCGCGGATATCTTATTACGGATTCTATGACAAAGATAAATACCAAGCATAGAGCTAGTTTGCGCTCATAGCTTGATGAGCGACCTTAAATTTCCTCATAAGACAAGCAGTGAAGGACCACGTTTCAGATCCGTAGGTCAACACTGGCAACGCGCTCTTTTGTACTTTATAGAAATACGATGAGTAGATGCATCGTAATCTCCCGATGATGCCCAGCCAAAGTAGATCCATCGATTAAACTCTCGGTCCAATTGGACTTACTTAGTATGATATAATAAATAAAGTTATAATTACTTGGAGGATAATCCCTGTAAGTGATGTCACTGTAGACGGCAAACGGCGAAGCGCAGATAAAAGAGATGACCCACAAGATGAATATTATACGCGAGGCCCTGGTGAGGCCCGCCATCGCATACAGGTACAACGGGTGACATATCGCCAGATATCTTTCCAGGGAAAATGCTGATATTGTTAAGACGGATACGTATGTTGCTCTGTAAATATAAATAACGATGACAGTTGGATGGCGGATTAAAATTAATTGATTAAACAATTTATTTATTTACATAAAAAAGGTTAACCTACATTTGTTACTATTTAACATACAAAATATAAAAGTATAATATTGTCTTGTTCTAATTAGCTTTCATATTCAAATTGAATGTGATAAGATAAAAATCATTAATTTATGTTAAAGCAAACCAACAATTGAATTAGATACGAGTAAATAATAATAATAAGTATGCATAAAAAGTTTAACTTAACTTGGAATTGTATCTAGCAAATACTTGTGAATTTTGTGAGAGGAAACAATAATATTAGACCGATTAATCGTAAAAATATAAGATACATTATTGCTGAAATTTTTTGATATAAAGGGCACCAGCGGATGGCGGGGGGAGATCAAAGAAGCCGAACCCTTGTCGCCGGCTTACACAGGCTAGGAAAATTGAAAATTTATTGTAATATCGTGGTTTTATTGGAAAGTCACGGCATCTCGGCATCCACTGATAAGTTTAGTGTGATCGTATTCAATTTTTTTCGATTCGCAACTACGCAAATATACTTTTTTTATAGTTTTCATAGCGTTAAATTAGATGTTAATATCAATTCTCTTCGATAAAGAATGACAAGTATGTGTAAATTCCTATAGACTGATAAAAATTTGATATAGGTTGATTTAAGATGTTAAGTCCGCCTAAAATTTAACAAAATTATTAGAAGATGCTGTCCTCGTATCGTGGTATTCGTAGGTACTATTCGATTCCCAGGGAAATCTACCGCGACGCTTTCCCTTGAGATCGTCCTCCGACCGGTTATGTATGAATAAGATAAGAATTGAAATTGAATATAAATTAATACATTTAAAATATCTTGCTATCTGCCGGTTCGTGCTGGCCTCTACCTTTTTCTGTCGACACTGACTAAAATTACGATAGAGAATCAAAATATATAGCTAAAACAGTGTAGTTGTTTTTCAGTCGTAATAAGTACCGTACAGTAATGTACTTACATTAATTAATGGATATTATATTACAAACATACAAGTCAAGATAACGAAAGCGTGCTAAAAATTCCAAAATTGGTAAAGAACGCGAAATAGTCCAGGAGGAATCGGCGCAAGAATACTGAAAACTATTCCACCTCAATTTTTATACGATTCTCTTCAAATTGTCCTACTGATGATATAAATGCATGTTGCCATGTGACAACTCGGTGCCATATTGTTTAAAACTATTTGTTTTTAATTGCAAGGAATTGTTATATTCAAATGGGATTTTTTTTATATCTTTTGATAAAATACGAACAAAAAAAGGTTCGATGACTTTTTACGATAAAGTTAATATTTTCGGAGTTATGAATTTTTAAAGGATCGAAAAATTCCAAATTCGGATAATTCTAAATCGGTTTAAACAATATGGCACAGAGTTTCATCATGGCAACATATATTTATATCATCAATAAGACAATTTGAAGAGAATCGCATAAAAAATGGTGGTGGAATAATTATCGGTACTCATGCGCCGATTCCTACTAGACTAAAATGAAGTAAATGATAATCTCATAGAACGATCTGTAGACGGAAACAATGGCTTTTTTACATACAATTCAGATTAATTTCGAAACAAAACTTCCCTATTTGGAAAGCGGAGACACAGAACATAACATAATAATTGACAGATAATAAAAAAATAACCATGAAATTATATTGTTATTTGTGATTATTTTTTATAGATTATGGTTTTATCTCATCTCGCATGAACAACTTACGCTTCTGATATTAGGGCACGCAATTTGCAGAATATGATTCCCAAACTGTACGGGTATTGATGCCAGTACACGGAGAGATCATTAGGAAGACCTGTGGAAGAGACAATAATTACCTTCACAACAAATTTACTAAATAAAACAAATTAGTCAAATATCTTCTATCTTGTTAATTCTATTTTAATGAGAGATTTTTTTAAATAGGAGTAACAAACGAGCGTACAATCTACCTGATGGAATGGCTGTATTGCAAAATTAAGCTGTATTCTACGCTGGTATTCTGCGAGACCGTGTTTCTACCTCGGTCGAGCCGACTCGGTCGTTCTACGAATACAACCATATAGCTGCAGCGTATCTCTACCGCGTGTACTCCACCACGCATCTTTGGTTA